CTGTCTGTCTGTCTGTCTGTCTGTCTGTCTGTCTGTCTGTCTGTCTGTCTGTCTGTGTGTGTGTGTGTGTGTGTGTTTGATAGCGTGCCAACTCTGATCTCATTTCGGTGGAATCTCTCGGATACAGTGTAAAGACTGTATCTGAAGGTCCCACACAATTAATCCTTCACTTACTCCCGAGCTGTAGTGATGCAGTCATTCTATTGGTTAAAAACAAGATGCATACATGATTTATCTCCAGTGTAAGAGTGTGTTCGCAGTTTCTTTACTTAAGTCTACTTCAGTATTCTATCTTCTTATCTGCTCCTGGTTGCCCTCTCTGACTGTCTGCTGCCTTGTTGGCTTTGGCTCAGTTTCACTCTTCCCTCTGTCCAGCTCCGAGGATCCCCACATGCTCAGCTGGTTTATTTTCATCCCGCTTCTTTCACTCACTCTTTTTATCATCTCTTTTCTCACTATATTTTCACCTTTCTTTATTAATAAAAANGACAGGGCAACAAGTCCAAGCAAAAACACACACGTTCACATCCGAGCACGAGTCAGCATCTAATGGCTTTAAACCAAACAAAAGGATCAGGGGATTTGTAGTGTTAAAGAAAATGTTGTTTTCATGTACTTTGCAGAACAGCCGTGTTAAGTTTGTGTTTTTGGGATCAAGGTCTTTTCTAGCTTAATTTTTCAAAGCAAACCTCTGGAGAAACATCTTGCTGTCCGTTTCCGCCCCCTTGGCTCTCCTCTGTTCCACACTGCTCTGTCCTTCCTTCACTCCTCTTCCTCTCCTCTATTTTCTGTGTTTTACTGCCAGGAAAAGTAAATCACAGCATGACTTTCTGTCTGGATCTCATTTTGGCTTAAATGTGTCGAGTCTGAGGTCCACAGCTGCTTTTTGCCTTGCAGTTTTTTCAATAAAGCAAAAATGAAAGCAGCACCCTAAAGCCCCAACCCCATCATGCATCTCAACAGTCAGCAGTAACGCACATATCACCTATCTATCACAAAGGTTACGTGGCATCACACACACTCACACACATGCAGCCTCAGCACACAGTGACATTTTTCTTTGTTGGGCTTGAAATCTCCTAGCATTACATGTAGTGTGCCACTGCAAACACACATTAAACTTAAACCGAATATTCCCTTGGGAAAAAAGTCAAGATGAATTTAAGTTCAACATTCCAGTCTTTTGGTGTGCAAAAAAGAGGTTATGATATACTAAGTGACAGTTGTTCTGTCATGATTACCAAACAGTTATTTATGTTATACATAAAGAATAATCACAATATCTTACTTAAATAATTTCCTTGAATATATAATACTTATTTAGCCCTGTAGTAATCCACTATATCACAGAAACGTACTTATTCGCTTCATTGCTAGCTTCTATGTGCGGCTATACTTCTTAGCACTGGAGCTAAACATGAGCATGCTAACATTATCTGATTAGCTCTCAATAATAAACAAATATCTTACACCTGATGCTAGATCAAGGGATGATCAAAGTCGTTTCAGTTCATCCAAAGGAGGATATGAATGTGTCCCAAATGTTATGACAACCCATCGAAAAGATGTTGAGACATTTTTACTCCAACGCTAAAGCATTATGGTTGTTCTTGAGGAAAATGAGAGTAATTAGAAATGTATCAATAGGGCCATCTTGACATAAGATGGTAACTGTTGTGACTGTAAAAGATAATTGAAAGGTAAATGGAAGTTATGTGTTACTCATTTATGTTCTATGTAAAGTCTGGTGTTGTTTATATTATTTGTAAACCCTAAATGGTGACTGTTGTGATCTCTGCACTTCTCAGACACCACTAAGGCTGAATCACCGCGAGTCATCAATGTTATCCTGCCCGACCAGAGACACCACTTTCTGATGCCGCTGGGCTACGTCCTCACCTCCTTCCTGCTCCTGGCCTTCATTATACTCATCATCATCCTCATCACACGCAGACGTAAAACCAAAGGTATGAGCTGCTGTATCTTAGTCAGACTGTAGATTTACATTGAAATAACATTTCTAAATCTCATCTTATCTTCTTTGGTTTCAGAGTTTTACCCTCAACCATCTATGAGGTGAGAACACAGAAAACACACTCACATAATGACTGTCTTACCATTTAACACACTCAATTGTCTATATCATACTGTGATAGGTCAAGCAGAAGTGAGAGCAGCTCAGAAGAGTTTGAGATGGACATTGCTGATGGCAATGTGAGCAGTCTGGAGCCTGAAGGAGAGAAAAGACTTGGTAAGGATTAAGGAAAGATGAAGAAAGTGGCTTTTGCCTGGAGTGTGTGTGTTTTGACTTTCTGCTGTGTGATTTTAGACTTCAAGAACAACCTGCTGAAAGAGAAGGTCCACACTAGCACTCAGCCTAAAGTCATTGATCTTGACAAAGGTAACACAAAATCAAAGTCAGATTAATGAAAAATAAATGTCTCATTTTCAATCTTCCTTAACTTTGAATTTTCCTACACTTCTTTGCAGAGATGCAGAAATTCTCCAAGTGAGGAAGAGACAAATAGATGGCGAAACTTGAGTCACTGGCTGGTCCAGGAAGCTGCACTCCAAACTAAACACATCCACGTGCCTTATGTCCAGGCAAAGACAGCAGGAGACACAATGCGGTGAAATGTAGAAAGATCTGTATTTAAAAACACCACATTGAGGCCTTTTGTTGTTTTAATTGTAAGTATTAGAGACCAAGGAAAATGTGTTACGTTTCTTTCATTGTACTTGATCAAGTCTGGACTTGGACCGTTGGCGCTACCTAGAGGGGACTTTTTAAGAGTGCTGTGTTAAAGTAGCAATGTGTGCGCAGCGCACGTTAACCCTTAGATGCATAAGTGGGTCTTGTTTGACCCGGTGAGGTGGTTTTCTTGAAGTATCTTAGTAATTACATTTTTTTTATCATTTCATATTCCGGCTAATCCTCAAAAAACATGTTTTGGATATCATGCCATTCAAATGTTTTATTTACATTTTAAGAAATTGTAGTTTTGTATTACTACCCCAAGCTTGCACTAAAATCAAAAATGAACTGCATGCATTTTCTATGGAATCCTATGGGGAAACGTTTTTTTTTCTAAATGTAAAAAAAATGTCTACAATTATAAATAGTGAAAAATTAAATATAAAATATTTATAATGTGAACCAAAGTATAATACTTAATATTATACAAGTGATTTTTCTTAACCAAAATGACAAAAATGGCATAAAAACACAT